GGATATCCAACTCTTTCTGATATAATTCCTCTGTGTATTCTTGCCACCTCTTCTTGATGTCTTCTGCTTCTGTGAGGTCCCTTCCATTTTTGTCTTTTATCATGTCCATCTTTGCACAAAATTTTCCTCTAATATCTCCAATTTTCCTGACCAGATCTCTGGTTTTTCCTTTTCTGTTCTTTTCCTCTATTTCTTTGCATTGTTCATTTAAGATGGCCCTCTTGTCTCTCCTTGCTATTCTTTGGAAGTCTGCATTCAATTTTCTGTAGCTTTCCCTATCTGCCTTGCATTTTGCTTCCCTTCTCCTCTCTGCTATTTCTATGGCCTCGTTGGACAGCCACTTTGCTTTCTTGCATTTCCTTTTCTTTGGGATGGTTTTTGTTGCTGCCTCCTGTACAATGTTACGAGCCTCTATCCAAAGTTCTTCAGGCACTCTGTCCACCAAATCTAGTTCCTTAAATCTGTTCTTCACTTCTACTGTGTATTCGTAAGGGATTTGGTTTAGATTATACCTGAGTGGCCCAGTGGTTTTTCCTACTCTCTTCAGTTTAAGCTTGAATTTTGCTATGAGAAGCTGATGATCAGAGCCACAATCAGCTCCAGGTCTTGTTTTTGCTGACTGTATAGAGCTTCTCCATCTTTGGCTGCAGAGAATATAGTCAATCTGATTTTGATGTTGCCCATCTGGTGATTTCCATGTGTAGAGTCGCCTCTTGTGTTGTTGGAAAAGGGTGTTTGTGATGACCAGCTTGTTCTCTTGACAAAATTCTATTAGTCTTTGCCCTGCTTCGTTTTGAACTCCAAGGCCAAACTTCCCTGTTGTTCCTTTTATCTCTTGACTCCCTACCTTAGCATTCCAGTCCCCCAGAATGAGAAGAACATCCTTCTTCGGTGTCAGTTCTAGAAGGTGTTGTAAATCTTCATAAAATTGTTCAATTTCAGTCTCCTCAGCAATGGAGGTTGGTGCATAAACTTGGATTATTGTGATGTTGAAAGGTCTGCCTTGGATACGTATTGACATCATTCTATCATTTTTGAGATTATATCCCATTACGGCTTTTCCCACTCTTTTGTTGACTATGAGGGCTACTCCATTCCTTCTACGGGATTCTTGCCCACAATAGTAGACATGATAATCATCTGAGTTGAAATCACCCATTCCCATCCATTTTAGTTCACTGATGCCCAGAATGTCGATGTTTATTCTTGCCATCTCCTGTTTGACCACCTCCAGCTTCCCAAGGTTCATAGATCTTACATTCCAGGTTCCTATGCAGTATTTTTCTTTCCAGCATCGGACTTTCCTTTCACTTCCAGGCACGTCCACAGCTGAGCGTCCTTTCGGCTTTGGCCCATCCACTTCATCAGCTCTGGAGCTACTTGTACTTGTCCTCCGCTCTTCCTCAGTAGCATGTTGGACGCCTTTTGACCTGAGGGTCCCATCTTCCAGCGTCATATCTTTTAGCCTTTTGTTTCTGATCATGGGGCATTCTTGGCAAAGATACTGGAGTGGAATTGCCGGTTCCTACCCCAGGTGGATTGCGTTTAGTCAGAACTCTCCACTATGACCTGTCCGTCTTGGGTGGCCCTGCACGGCATAGCCCATAGCTTCTCTGAGTTGCTCAAGCCCCCTCGCCACGACAAGGCAGCAATCCATGAAGGGGACCCCTTGTATAGCCAAGCCAAACTCTTTCAAAATTTCCTAGAATTCTGCCACTCCTTTACATTTGGGGACTTTCTTTTGTGTCTCTCATGATTTCTCCAAAAAGACAGGTTGAAAGGGTCAAGTGGCTCTATTCTTAAGTGTTCTTTGGTTTCCCTTGGTTGTATATTGGGCAGAAAAAAGGAAGCACCTTCCTCTTACATGCACTCACAGGCCAAAGCACATAACTGATCCAAAATGGATGTGGCAAGGGAAAATTTCATTTAGAAAAATGAAAAAATAAAGAGTGCACTTAATTGAACATCCTACAAAAGAAAGCTATGGCATTACAAGCTTGAGCACTAACATAAAGAGGTATTATAGACTGTGCCTGAGACAGAACAAGGAAATGAAAATACTGTACCAGCCCTTGCAGCTGGAGAACAGTGTGGAGCCTCTGGGTTGGCCAAGCATTGGCAGAGACGACAAAGCCAAAACGTCCACTTTGCCTGTTCCAGTGAACAGTAACTTTCATTTCGTCCATTTTACAATCCACATTGTTCTCCTGTAGCTCAGACCACTGATGTCTAGGACCCTGAATTAGGAAGCATTCCAGCTTTTGGAACGACCATACATAATTGCTAGAAATCAGATACTGTGTAAATGTGTTATGACAATCGCAAAGCCACCAAATAAGAGCCACTACATAGAACTAAACAAAGAAAGACCTGAAGTCAAACATTAAACCCCAATTCCCACTCTGAGTATTGAAGGAACAATCTGAATTGCCAGATCTCTATTGCAAAACAGATACCCTGTACTTCAAAACGTTCTATCCTACTGTCAATTAAATTTGTATTTAGAAATTAAGATGTCGGACTGAACATTCTGCTAATTTTTTTATTGGTTCACATACTTATTGTCCTTTAGAGAGTCATTCCCCATAAGTCTGCACTTTCATCTCTGTGGTCCTGACTTTAAACACCCTCTTATTTGACACCTATAATGCATATAATAAATTACATATTCTGATGACAAAAAAATAGGATTTCCAATTTCAGGATTTGCCTTTTTAGTGCAGAGTTCTAAACTACACAGAGAGACATTGAGAGACAACAGATAACCCTATTTCCTCTGATGAGAAATGCATTAATTTTTTTTTTAAAAAAAGGGAGCTACTAATTACAAAGTTCTTTAATTATTTTCCCTTAAAATAAATGTCTGTAATACCCATATTACAACTTACAGAGCACAATACAAGTGACTAATGGGGAAACACATCCCCTCAGCAACAACATGACTTGATTGGATTGCAGGAAAAAATGTCTTCCTGGAACAAAACATATGTTGGAAAGGCTTTGGATTAGAGATGTGCAAAATAAAGTTGTGGTTTTGGACTGTAACTCCAAGAGAAATTCTGAGACTTGTAGTCAAAAAACACAAATCCCAAAACGCATTTATTTTGCAACTCCAAGAATTTTTGTAATCCTAAAACACAAATCTGCATACCTCTATTTTGGATAATCTGCCACAACTGTGCATTTACTGCAGCAGAAACAAAGCAAATAAAACATCAGCAACTTACAGCTATAATGTAAATGTCTGTCTATATCTCAGAATGGCTAACCTTGAGCCAACAAAAAACCGGAACTTCTATGCAAAAACTCTTGTTTAATGTATTTTACATTCTGCAAATCAGGTCCTAGACCTAATGTCCTAAACATTAATGATACAGGGGAAATTGTACTGTAGTTCTGCTTCCTGCATACAGTATTCTTTTCTTGATCTTCCAATTGCAAGGAGGATTCTAATATTTCTTTGCAAGAATTTCCACAGAATTTCTATGGAAGCAGCAGATTTAAAATACCTTGCTGCATCTACAATAAAGATGAAATCAAATTATCTGTCAATCATACAGAAAATGTCCTGTACAGTTATGTACGTGTATATGTTTTATGAAGCAATTAAAAATTGTTTGATTTGACTTAAAATAATCAAATGCTTTGCAAGTTCTGCTGCTTCACTTGCGAGAATAAAGAGGTTTTCTGGAATACAGCAAGTTCCAGGATGCTAATGCAGTTTTCTGGAATATAGTTAGTTCCACTTATGCTAATGCACTCAATTATTCAACACTGACACAGCAGGTTTAGCAAGGGGAAAGAAGAGCAACTGGGTTACAATAAAAGAACAAAGACACACACTGAAAAGGAAAAGGAAAAAACCCAACAAACTCACAAGGAGCTTTCTCCGGTGTTTCCTCAAGTCACTGGGCTGTCAAAGACAAAACACAAAAAGGGGAAAAATTACCTCAAAAGGAAACAGAACTAGACTCTTAGTAAAATATGTGCTACAACTTGGACAGAACACAGCAAAAAAAACCAGACCATCATTCATGGTGAGCAAGGTACTTGGGGAAAAAATAGCAAACAATTATAGTTTTAAATTTAACACCTCTTGTTAACACAGCAGCCAGTTGAAGTTTGTTTGTCCCAAAAGATCTCAGAAACATAAGAGACAGAAACACAAAAAAAATTGCACAAATGCTAATATCCCAATGTAAATAACTAGGTGGGTTATGTCTCAAATAAGCATGCTGACTGGGGGTTCTGGGAATTGTAGTTATCTTACCAGAACTAGACGCTTGAAACTTTGCACAGATGCTACTAATTTTCCAGCTTAAGCAACTGGATAGCTTATAAATCAAAAGCCTGTCCTGGCTGGGGGAGTCTGGGACTTTTATTCCAAAGACATTACACTACTATCCTATGACAGTTGGGCTGAGTAATGGATGGAGCACTGGGGTAAGGAGAGAAAAAAGATTAGAGTTGCAGGAAACTCCTACTGAGGCAGGGGTATAAGAGAAAGAGAGCATTGTGGTGCTGGAGGCAACTAATGAGTTTCTGACCCTACTACAAGCTGAATGAGTACAAGGTGGAAAAGGGGGAAGGAGAAAGGATTCTGTGTGTGTGTTTGTGTGTGTGTGTACACATGCACATGTGTGTGAAAGAGAGACCACTGTGAGAAAAAGAATAGAAGAATTTAGTGAGCAGGAATGAAGAGTGAAGGCACTGGGGTCAGGATGGGACTTATGAGCATTTAACTTGGCCAACACCCAGTGTCTCTGCTGATTTATTTAAATAAGAAACTAAGGGGAAATAGGGGGAGGGTGATGAGGGCCTGAGCATTGAAAAAAGGATATTATATGGCCATATTATATGGTCATAACAGAAGCAGTATCCACAGAAGAAAGCATAAAATCCCACTGAACAGCCCTCTGGTCTTCTTGACTGAGTATATGACATATCTTCTCTTTCCGTGCTTACAAGGGTCATGCTGCATATTCGATCAAGGTCCTGAGCTGCACTGCGAGAGCTGAGCTTGGGAGTAGAACGCCCACTGACAGGAGGAGATGAGCTGGCTAATGACAAGGCAGTCAGGGAGGTGGGGATCGATGCTCTTTTGCGTAGCTGTGTTAGATTCAGGGCTTCCATACTACCGCTGGTGACACGGCTCTCCAACTGCTCAGCCCGCAACTCAGTTGATTCCTTCTCTTCCTGGATCATTCTGAAGGAGAGAAGACATTTTGCTTCAGTTGGCAATGCGTCTTTTAACCTTTCTGTCAGGTTACTTAAGATTATTCATATGCAGAAACAGAAAGAGTCATACAAGAATTCTGACCACAACATGCCCCTAGCCTAAGATCCAACCCAGAGCCATGTGTTTATGCACCACCTGGAGGGGGGAAAGCCATACAATTTATTTCCATTTTGCTACTTTCCCTTTACAAAAAAATCTCCTTAGGTAAAGGTAAAGGTTCCCCTTGACCATTTTTGTCCAGTCGTGTTCAACTCTAGGGGGCGGTGCTCATCCCCGTTTCCAAGCCATAGAGCCAGCGTTTGTCCGAAGACAATCTTCCGTGGTCACATGGCCAGTGCAACTTAGACACGGAACGCTGTTACCTTCCCACCGAGGGGGTCCCTATTTATCTATTTGCATTTGCATGCTTTCGAACCGCTAGGTTGGCGGGAGCTGGGCCAAGCGACGGGCGCTCACTCCGCCGCGTGGATTTGATCTTACGACTGCTGGTCTTCTGACCCTGCAGCACAGGCTTCTGCGGTTTAGCCCACAGCGCCACCACGTCCCTCCTAAAAATCTCCTTAAGCCTACTCTAATTTTTTTATGTTTGCATGGGCCAGCTTCTCTACACTCAAGTAGGTGTAAGAATGAGGCTATAATCCAATTTTTATATTAGACTGACAGACTGTTTCTACTTCCCAAGAGTTGTCTGCTCAGTCTCTGAAGTACACTTGTGTCCCCTAGAAATTACTCACATACTTAATTTCCACAATTCAAGGCACTAGAAATAATTTCATTAAAAATCAAGATTCTAAGCATGGAAAAATATCTTCAGGTGCTAGACTTTTTATGCTTTCATACATTTTTCTTAAGTATACTGTTATCAAATCACAAAAGCAGTATTACAAAATTTAACTAGCCCCACAGTTCTTTTTTTGTATCTCACTGAGGACTTCAAGCAAAGCTTCAGCAAGTTGTCCAAGTTCCTGTAATCTTGATCACCCATTTGTTAAAAAAACAACAACCAAGTGACATGTTCATGAGGTACTTACAACCATAATGGCCCCAGAAGTGGTGGTGGTAAGCTCAGATAAGGCAAAACTGCCCCTCTGTGCCCTAGAGGACATGTAAAAATTGGGGGGGGGGTTACATTTGGAGCCCTGAGGGCTGTATGTGCCCTGTATGTGGCCTGCAAGCCACATGTTGTTCAGCTCTGGTGCACTAGGATAGACTGTTTTGTCTGATTCTGTATTGGTTGATTATCAAGGATCAGTGCTGAGATGGTAACTTATCCCTTAGAAACACAACAACATTATGTGATTCCATGTGGCTCAATTACTCCAAGGCAGCTGGACATGGTTGCAACTTGCCTTTTTCAGAGCTCCCAGGGAGAAAGCTAAAACTGTGCATGTTCTACATTCTCTGTGCATTTAGCAAACTGCTACATACAGTATTTTTTCTGCTTTACCTATAGGAAATGCTAGATAGATCATTGGTTTAGATGTTTGGCTGAAGAGCAAGAGATTGAGAATTTGATTCCCCACTATGCCTCCCTCACAGGGGCTTGACACAATGGTCCATAGGCTCAATATATTCACGAAGGCTTTCACGGCCGGGATCTAATGGTTGTTCTGGGTTTTTCGGGCTCTTTGGCAGTGTTCTGAAGGTTGTTCTTCCTGACGTTTCGCCAGTCTCTGTGGCCAGCATCTTCAGAGGACAGCAACCAGAACAACCATCCATAGGCTCCTTTCCAGCTCTGCAGTTCTAAGAAGGCTGAGACCTGAGATGAATGGCTTGTGCTGTTTTCTAGAAGGCAGCCCCAAAAAAAGTTACTAAGGCATCTTCTCTCTCAAAATATTAATGATAATAGCTCAAGTACACTAACTATTTCTTTCAGCAACTATTCCTAATTTTTCAGATAACCTCCTGATAGACTCTGAATTTCAAACCTCATATTCCTAACCTCTCAGGAATTTTCAGTCATTTGTATGGTTACCTTATTGCATTGGGGTGGGGGTAGGGAATCTGACATTCTGGTTTTGTGCAGTCATTCCTTTGAATATACACAAGTTCTTGTCAACTGTATACTGCACACATAGCATAAGCTTCGCTGGATTAGACCATACCTGATCTCTTCATTGATAGCGTCCAACTGTTCCTGCAGCATCATAGCAAGAGTCTGAGCATCAGAGTGACCACTGGGAGATAGCATGTCCATAGAGCTAAAGACAGTCTCCTGGTCGTCCTCATCAACATCAGAGATCTCTGGGTCACTGTCAAAGGTGTGAGCTGCAGTGGCCAAGACCCCACTTGGCTGGGGAAGTTCCCAATCCTGAAAATTAAACAAGGAAGCTGACAATTATCCCTATTTGAAGAATGCTATTTTCTGCAGCTGTGTCTGAAGATGTATAAGCCTTCATTTGGACTGAACTAGGGATGTGCACCAGAACCAAAATGTTGAATCCAGAATTCAGATTCAGAATTACAGCCTACTTCACCAACTATCACATCGTCTCTTTAACTAAGCAATGTCCTGCCTTGTCTGTATGTATAAAAATTATCTGAAAGCGTCACTCATTTTTTTCCTATTGTTCCTCTGTATCTATTAGAAAAGAGGCACTTGAATTGTTGTTGATTATACAGGTAGTCACAATCTTACCAATTTAGATATTTCCATCAGTAGGATGAAGTCGGACCAGCCAGAACTGAATTCTTTGCCCTGCTACTAAATGTGTATTTTGTCTGCTACAGCAGCGGTCCCCAACCTTTTTGGGACCAAGGACTGGTTGGGGGTGTGGGCTCCGTGCAAGGGGGGCAGGGGCACACCTGTGCTTGTGGGTGGGAGTGTTACGCTCATGGAAGGTGTGTTGCATTCACGGAGGGGCGTGCCGTGCTCGTGAAGGGGCGTGTGCATGTGAGCGTGACACGACGACTGTGCATGCATGCGGGGGGTGGAGATCCGTATCCGCGGCCCAGTTCCAGGAAGCCCACGGACCGTTACCGGGCTGCAGACCTAGGGTTAGGGAGCCCTGTGCTAGAGAACATCTGTAACTCTGATTCTTTTGTATTTGTACATTGTTTGTAGAAATACTGTTTGATCTTTTTGTATATGTATACTCACCATTCTTAGTGTTAAATACTGTCTTTTAATGATGTAAGCTGACTTGCTTCAGCTAATCTATTTTTTTAAGGAGGAATGAGGGGTAAAATTATCTTAACCAAACTAATCAATCTCTAAAACTCCTCCAAGAATATACTGGACACCTTGACTTCCATAGTGGAAAACAGGCAAGACAATAAACATGCTAAACACACAAATCTTTGAAGCCAACAACTTCATCAAGGCATTTCACAGTGTCTTTTGATTTTGCCTGTTGTTAACATCACAAATGAATTGAGCTGAGGGATGACTTAAATCCACTGAGTCAAAGCTTAGTGAATTCAAGTTGCCTTAAACCCCGATTCTGCCCCTTTAAGGTACATCACTCAACAGATTATCCTTCCCAAGCTGTAAATGAATCTGTAATATCCAAACAATTACTATTTTGAAAAATGTACTGATGCCTAAACATTAAAGCATATATATGCTACCAGTCCAAATTTCAACATGGCTTATAAAAATAATGAAAAACATAAAAGAACAATGCAGATATCAATACCAGAGCCAAACCAAGCAGTAAAACATTAAGGCCTATAACAGATTTCTTTCTTGCCCAGATTTTACAGAATGGCAGTGATCCTTTGAAACTTCATCTCTTCCACCCTCTGCACAAGCCCATCACATAAGTCCTGTCCTGGCCATCATCCAGTGGCCTTTCTGCACAACAGGGAGTCTTTTTCCTTCAGAGGGTTTAGGTCTGCAGCTGTTATTGCCGAGTGAAAGCTAAAGCCCCTCATTTTAAAGGCACAGGACAGCTGTTGCAGCTGTTACCATTACAAAGATTTTGCGATATGCTCCAAGATACAGAGTAACAGGAGCTGCCCATAAGAGATTAGCTGAAGTAAGGCAAATTATCAGGAGTTTTACCTTTGGGGGTTCTTCCCGCAGAGATGCAAATCGGCTTTTTGGTGTCCGGTGAAGGCTGGAGGAAGTTCCAAAGGGTTCAGGGGATGCATGGACCATGGTACTCAGGGGATACCTGAGGTCTGGAGTGCTTCCAACAAGAGATCTATAAATTTAGCATAGTCAGTCATATTTAGTGTAATTTAATGTCCATTTTGAAAAATAAATCCATACATGTTAACTTATGTTTTCTCTTACTTTTAATCAATATGTTAAAAGCTGATATACTGCTGATGTCAAAAACAACCAATATACACATTGAAACACACAGTAGAGTGTCATATTTTAAACAGCCTGAGAAATAGCAAAATGTTCCATCATTTACACAACAAGAAAATAATACAATCTCCATAGAAGCATACAGTGGTGCCTCGATTTACGAACATCCCGAATTATGACCATTTTGAGTTACAACCAGCTCCGGCTGCAAAATTTGGCTTCAACTTGCGGCCAGAGCTTCCAGTTATGAACAGAAAAAGGCAGGGGGGAAAGGCGGGGAATTCAAATTGCTAACCGTTGGTAGGTGAAGAGGCTGCTTCTTTGTAGCTCTTTCGCCCCAGCGGTTATAATGAGTGCAATTGGAGGAGGCTTTGGACTGCCTGTTAAGGTAAGGTGCTGCTTTCTGCTTTTTAAAAACTGTTCTTGTTGGGTTTTGCAGTGTGGTTTTGGGCTGGATGGTGGGATTATGTTTCTATGCTGTGATGGGTCTTGCAGGTTTGTTTGTTGTCCCCCCCATTTCCAATGGGTCTTGGGGTGTTTGTTTGCTTTTGGAGGTTTCCCCCCCATTTCCAATAGGTCTGGGGGGTTTGTTTGCTTTTGGGGTTCTTTCCCCATTTACAATGGGTCTTGCGGGGTTTGGTTCCTTTCTGCTTTGCTTTTTTGCATTTCCAATGGGTCTTGCACGCTTTGCTTGCTTTCTGCTTTGCTTTGTTGCATTTCTGATGGATCTTGCACCCTTTGCTTGCTTTTTGCTTTGCTTTTTTTGCATTTCCAATGGGTCTTGCATGGTTTGCTTGCTTTTCCTCCACCACCACCCCCTTCGGCTGGAAAGATTAACCGCATTTCTGATGGGTCTTGCAGTTGTGTGTGTTGTGTTTTTTTGGCTGGAACAGATTAATTGCATTTCAATGCATTCCTGTGGGAAATGGTGCTTTGATTTATGACCATTTTGAGTTATGACCATCTTCCAGAACGGATTAAGTTCATAAATCTATGCACCACTGCATTTGACATTTTTACTAACAACATGCTAAGATAAAACACTAAATGTATTTTCATGAATTTGAGATAATTGAGATTCAGGCAGTAGTAAGTGTTCTTAACTGGCACTGTAGAAGAATAGTACAAATGGGTATGATAGAAAGAAGGGTTCTGCTCTCATAATTCCATTTATTGGAACATGAAATCTCTTGAAATTAATTCTATTTTTATAATAAAAAATGTATAAATGTGAATGCATGTTTCTATATAAACATATTTATTACTACCCTATGTCAAAGGATCTCAAGGCAGGGTACAAAACACCACAAAACATCCTAACATAAAACAACAGCTTAGAAGAATTAACACAAGGTTTGATTAAATGGTGGGGTAAGGTAAACAGTGTGGTGATTTCCTCTGAAGTCCCTATCCCCCCAGGCCTTCACGAGGTGCTCGCTCTTCCTTCTTCTTCGCTGCCACCAGATAGTAATAGTTTAATATCAATTATGTATAGAGACAAGTGTGCTGTTTAAAACGTAAGGCTTTTATTTGATCAGGGAAGTTATTAGGTGATATATATTCATGAGATCAATCACAGGCTGCCAGTCACTTATACTGTAACTAGTTCCTGGAAAGCTGAAGGTGCTTGCTTATCTTTGGTGGCATGTTATGTAGTTGTGCCCTCTAATGGATCAAACAACGATAGCAAGTCATCAGATTTTACTTCCAGTTACAATTTCTTGAAGATTTTTAAAAGACTGGACATGCAGGAGAGTGTGGAAAAGAAAGTGAGAGCTGCAATAAAATATACTTGCAAGTAGGAGCTGCAATAAAATGTTTCATCATAGACTGCTCCCAGGCATGATTCCAGCCAACCATGCTTTCCCCCCAGATACTTCATCTCTTCACTTCCCATTTTCTCCCTCTGATCTCCAGGTCAGTATGATGTCACCTTAAGTATGATAAGTGATGCAACAGTTTTTGGAGCCCACCCACCCCCTCTGGTATTCCCTGAGGATTTTTGTATTTCTAACAACTCTAGTTTTCCCTCCTGCCTACTGCTGATGTATCTCTCATTGAACATTAAAAGTGCTGTTACAGTTAAACACAGAGTCATCCACACCTGGAAAATGAGTTTGGAAACCATGTACAAGACACGTCATCCCTCAAAGCAATTTTCACAAGAGTGTTGAAAACTTGAAAGGCTAATTGGCCAGGAGAAGAGGCACACCTGTCAATTTCCTTAATCACAGAGGCCAGAGCAGAGATGTTGGGCCTGACCAGTTCTCATGGGTATTTACTTAATACACTGGTTCTTAACCTTGGGTTACTCAGGAGTTTTGGACTGCAACTCCCAGAAGCCTTCACCACCAGCTGTCCTGACTGGGGTTTCTGGGAGTTGCAGTTCAAAAGCATCCGAGTAACAAAGGTTAAGAACCACTGACTTAATAGATTGTGCCAGGATTTTTCTGAAATTTGTGCAGTTAGCATTTACCAATAAATCAAATGGAACAAGAGATTACCACAGAGCAGATTTTGATGCAACCATTCAGTAAGTGGAAGACCTGCATTTTACCTGCTGTTGTTTTTGTCAGAAAGAGGCACCAACCAAAGTAATATAGAGCATACCAATATAGTAGGAGGAACATGTGCAAGCTGGAATTAACAGTTTCCAGATGGCTCCTTTTGCAGCAATATACCAAACTCAATGGTGTGAGAAATACTAATAACAATTTCGTAGACATTGCAACTCAGCCTGAGCTAACAGGATACATACATGTAGGCACAAATAAACCTGCACAACAATGCCTCAAAGAGTTGCATCTGGAAACCTTTAAACATTTTGCAAAGCTGCAAAAAAGAAACAGACCATCCTTACCTTGTATGAACACTGTCAAGAAAAGATCCACTTCTAGTTTTCAGCTGCTCAATTTCTAATCTCAGTTTGTCAATTTCCTCTGATAGCCTCCTCTGTTTGAAACAAAACAAGAAACTGTTTCTCTGTATCCAGTTTTTATTTATCAACCAAACTCAATTAAATACATCTGTGAAATCCCACTTCATGCAGGTAATGGTTGAGAATCATGCTGAGGACAAAGCAAGATAAATAAAAAGGTCTAGGGTGCAAAGAGAAAGGGAAAAGGGAGTGCAAAAACAGGCACTTATTGGCTCTTGGATGTTAACATGGACAGATGATGTCCCTTAGAAATTGTACCCCAGGTGTTCTCCAAAGACTATTTATGATTGTGCAAGTACAGGATTATTTAGTACAATCTATAGTTACCCATAGAATTAATCCCCAAGCCAAGGTTTATAAATTTGGCTACCGAACACAAGCCTCCATTGCATTTTCTTCCTTAATGGTATTATGCTGCACAGACTACATAGCAAAGTTTTATGTCTACATTTTAAAGATAAAGGTTGCAGCAGTCCTGCTTCAGGGATAATACTGCTGCAGGGGGAGAACTTCATGGCTACTCACCCCTATCTCATGTCACTTCTTAATGTATTGTTTTACACTCAAGCTCAAATTGGGCTTTCCACTAGGAGATACAACATGAAGGAATTTCCAAAGAATAATCAGAACTCAGGCCCCCATGTTATATTTCTCAATACTGCTTGATGAGCACTTCTGTTCTGTTGTCTCACATCAGAGGAAATGGATAACCAAGCAAAGAATTGAAAAACAAATTTTGATAAAGCAATTTAAATGAAATGGCTACACTGGGCATTTAACTTTGCTCATTAAAGACAACTTAGCCAGAGATGAGCTGTACAGGCAAATAGACGTCTACTGGTTAATACTCACTGCTGCGTCAGACACCATGTAATAGGTGCCTGCAACAGTTGGAGCACCGCATGCCATAAGACAAACACATTAAAAATGGTGATGCGTTGAAGGGAGGAAAAATCTTATTATCCCAACTAATGTTTGAAAATGTGGGAGACATCATTGGAGCAGTAATGCAATCTCAAAGGGTAAATGAAAAAAAAAGATGTATTCGTTATCTGAAACTGTGACTCCTATTGTTAATGAGTCACTAGCATCTCTCACTGAAGATTCATTTTCACATTAGGAGAGTCAAAAACTTCATCTGATATATTAAATTATTCAGAAGGCAACTGGAAGAGACTGGAACAGAGTTAAAGTACTACTACCACTATCTGACAAACTTCCGCTACTACATAATCATTTATCAAGTGTCTCAGTGGCAACTGTAGAGGGGATTATTCACAGTTTAAATTTCTCTCTTTCATGTAGAGACAAAACAGAGCCATACCAATTATCTAAGAAGACATCCTACTCACTGGGGAAGAACATAGGTATCAGGCTTTTCTATCCATAGAACAACAGTCAACAAGGAGGCACAAAATACATGCAGTAAATTATAACAATACATTACAATAAGAGGAGTTAACAAGGAAGCATAAAGTACTTGCAATAAACTATATAACGATCCATGTAATTCCATGACTTAAAATAGTTGTGTGTGTTTAGTCGTTTAGTCGTGTCCGACTCTTCGTGACCCCATGGACCAGAGCACGCCAGGCCCTCCTGTCTTCTACTGCCTCCCTAAAATAGTTACTGCTGTGGAAAAACACGGGCTATAGCAACAAAACCACTTGACAACTTCTGCTCATGCTATTTCAAGGCACCAAAAATACTTTAGAATAAACATGCCTGCCACTCCTCACACAGTGCTCTGGAGTGGCATTTACCTTATCATGATGCTGCTGCTCAATCTGCTTTTGGGTATTTTCCAGTTCTTGCAATAACGTGTTCTTAAAAAGCAAATGTGAGTGATTATGACGAGAGAGAAAATGGCCATTTTGGACAACATGGTACAAAGTCCTCTAATGCAGTGGTCTCCAACCTTGGGCCTCCAGATGTTCTTGGACTACAGCTCCCAGAAGCCTTCACCACCACCTCTGCTGACCAGGATTTCTGGGAGTTGAAGTCCAAGAACACCTGGAGGCCCAAGATTGGTGAACACTGCTCTAATGGACTTACAGAACAACCTGATAGGTTTTCCCACACTGAAAGCTACATAATAGAAAAGAAAAGTATGCATTGTCCAATAATTGTCATGGTGAAATTGACCCAACAACAAAGGTTTGCCAGGCTTATGGTGAGGCTGCCAAAATATGTCAAACACTGACCACCAAAAGCAAGTTATCTGAAGTGTATCTACAGTATCTAGGATATCCTGGAGAAAACCATTTCTGAGAGATAAATGAGTTATGTCATTGGTTAGACATGACATGCAAGAAAGATTTCAAACCTGCTACAGGAATCTGGTATAACCCAGACAAGAAGCGCAGAAGGAAATATCAGCTTCAACTGGTTCCTCCTGCTGTGGACTTCGTGCAACTTGTTTGAGAGGAAAGCTCCTACTATCACCAACAAGAGCTTCCCTTCCAAGAGCAAACAGCAGTCAGAGAGATTATTCTGATCACTTTGTGGTGGGCGGCAAAGACTGAAAGCCTCTCTTCCTTGCCCTGGTTTAAATCCCGTCTGTGACAGCTCTCTGTCTCTTCAAATCTTGCTTCTCAAGGCTAACCAGATGAGAATTATCACATCTAACTTGGCTCTAACACTGAATTCCTCCTGCACTGCTAATAAATGAGAAACTCTTACAAAAAACCCTGTACAGATATGAGCTAATTCTTAGCAAGCACAAAAATTCATGTAAACAGTTCTAAAGGGTATTCTTGAAGGCTCAAAGTTCTAAAATGCTTTAGGTAAAGGTAAAGGTTCCCCTTGACAAATTGTCCAGTCGTGTCTGACTCTAGGGCGCGGTGCTCATCCCTGTTTCCAAGCCATAGAGCCAGCGTTTGTCTGTAAACAGTTTCTGTGGTCACGTGGCCAGCGCGATTAGACACGGAAAGCCATTACCTTCCCACCATGGTGGTACTTATTTATGTACTCATATGTTTACATGCTTTCGAACTGCTAGGTTGGCAGGAGCTGGGACAAATGACGGGAGCTCACTCTGCCACGTGGATTCGAACTGCTGATCTTATCTTGCAGCCCAAAGGCTTTGCGGTTTAACTGGCAGTGCCACCACTGGCAGTGCCACCACATCCCTAAAGTGCTTTAGGTACTTTCAAACAAAGCTGTGTTTCAGGTTTATAAATAAATTAAGTACTTAACACAGTATATGTAAAATGGTTTCAGCTCTTCAGTGTTTTTATTAGCATTTTCAAAAGGAAATAGCATGTTATGACCACAAAGCTTGTTAACTTATCAGTATCAAAACTGAGCCAGTTAAGTGTTCTTCCCAACAGGTTTTAAGCATGAGTGCACTAAAAGAGGACTGTGTCCCAGGTGGGCAACAATTAGGCTTTCAGCCCAGAACATCACTCCCTGAATGCACACAAAATCACTTACACCTGCATGTAATCCATATAAAATGTTATTATTATTCAGCTCCAGCATAAATGAGATAATGTGACAGGTAATGGACCATTGGTGTCCTAAATTCTAAGCTCATTAGCTAAAGGGGAAGATTTTGCTATTAATGGCATTGAGTGCCATCCCTGTTGATAACACCAAAGATGGCTCCTCTGAAACAGAACCTCATGATTACACATCAGGGTTTTCCCACTCTGCTCCTTCTGTCTCATGTGCA